GATGAGTGCACACGCATAAACAAGTGTGTAATTATCACCACGTAGTTTTAAAGCGTGAAAAACATCCTTTGTTTTCCGATCGCCGCCCCTGACTTTCTGAGATGTTTATCTGCTCTTATCAACCTTTTCCTTTTGCAGCAGAAACTGCCTATCAAAAATCCATTTCCCCCGTGTTTGCATTCAAAGTCCAGACATCAAAACATCCAGTTAACTCAGGGTCTCGGTGTTTGTATGGGCACATTAAAGCAGCTCATTACAACTGAATCAACAGAGCAAAAGGGCAGGGATATAATAATATTCACTGTGAGCGAAGAGAGGAGCAAGAAAAACTTATTTGTGACTGAACTAGCACTTCTCGCTGAGCAATTTGAATTTGAATCATTTCTACACACTTAAAATATATCCTTGACACAAAACCCCTCAATCAGGTCAAACTTGAATACCTGTCGCCGTCTTTGTGAGACATTACAGGCAGGAATTTACTGATGCAGATGTAACATTTAAAAAGAGACATCAAACCTTCATAGAAATTATTCACAGGAATGGCAAACATTGGATGAAAGCTTCAGTCACAGTGAGTAATAAAATTTTTGACATTTTGAGCATGAAACTGATTTATTAGGTGAATTTACAGGGTTTAAATCTGTTTATCGCTCTGCTTACTGTGAATAAAACAAAGTAATTAAGCATCCGGATCAATTGAATTGATTAGGATTTACTTACAGACTGCTTTAGCGATTATATTAATGCTGTGTGAAGGATATTAGCAGGCAGCTTACATCCAAAATCTTCCTCTTTTAATCAGCACTTCCTGCTTTATATGCAGTATGAACCGAGTCTGGGACCAGCTCGGTTGTTTGTGTATTCTCACATCACTCCACAAGGTTGACCTCCTGATTTATTTATCTTGTTTGTTGCTCTTAGAGGTAGGATTAAGCTTGTCACGTTGGGTATAATAGGATGAAGCAGTAAGAGCGCAGGAGATGGGAGTAACCATGGCGTCCACCATGAAGTGGATCACACCTCTCACCTCTAGCTGAGAGCTGGGAAGTCATTTTCATATTTGAGTCAAGCACATAACAAATCGCATGAAGAAGTGGATGTTAACTCAACATAAAAAACAGAAAGTGTAGGAACTCGGGCAGTCAAGATGTCAGATTTTTGCTTCATGTTTATTACAAATTTATTGCAATAGTCATGGAAAAATGGAACTCAAAGATCCAGGATCACATGGAAACGGCAGACACAACACATAATGAACCAAGACAGAGAAGAAGACAGGGACTATATTATGTATACACACTAGTAAATGAGCAACAGGTGAGGCTAACGAGACACAGGTGAAACTCGTTAATGATGAATGAAGGAGGAAAAACTAGGGATGATGATAAGGGCCTGTATTCACTTACAGCTTTCTTGATTCTAGGGGCGTGTGTCCACTAACAGCTTTATTTGATGCTCAGGACCTGTGTTCGCAAACAGCTTTTTTAAATGCTAGGGGCCTGTGTTCGCTAACAGCTGTTCTATGCTAGGGGCCTGTGTCCACTAACAGCTTTATTTGATGCTGAGGGCCTATGTCCACTAAGAGCTTTCTTCTTTGATGATAAGGGCCTGTATTCACTAACGGCTTTTTTGATTCTAGGGGCGTGTGTTCACTAACAGCTTTCTTTTCTGATGATAAGGGCCTGTGTTCACTGACAGCTACACCGAACATCATAACGCTAATGTCTCACTCTTGTCATTTTCTGAAACTTGGCAGCCCTGTGATAAGATACTTATCAGATTCATAAAAGCAGTTACCATTAACACTGGTATACTGCGGCAGCTTTGTAAGGAACTTTTGAGTCTTATATTGCTGGAAATATGCCCAGACTTTGTGTTTTTTTCAGACAGTGTCTTTATTGACGCCAGCATGAAATAAATAAAGATTTTTCAAAGGTGGAAATCATGCAAAGCTCCTCTATGGATCCCCAGATGAACATAATGAAAGGTGAAAATGGGTCTCCTCAGGCCTGTTTGCTTCCTCTATCAGGTTAGCACGCCACAGCATGAAGCTTAACTCTGTTTTAGCTTTATCAAAGTGAAGAAGAAGGTACAAAAGCACCTGATATTTTCATGTTGTTAAAGCGGTTATTAGTTCTTCTGTATAACCTCCACGCCCTGTCTCTGTGCGTCTGCATGCTCCCGTATAAACTGGATAAATAGAGGAAGAAAAGGAACCAAGAAGACAGACGTCCGCAAACCACTTATGGTTCTATTTTCTGACATGTTGCAGCTTCTGAGCGCCTCACAAATCAGAACAGGCTGCTTCTTCTTCCTCAGACAGGTTAGGAAAGACTGTACTGTCAGAACATCTATCAATAAAATACACACACACACACACACACATACATAACTGCACACAAACACAGAGAGGCGGAGGCTGACAGATACGCACACATACACCTACACACAGCCGGCATGAAGATGAATGGCACACATCAGCGTTTCCATCTTCTGCTCACTGCGGGGGCCCTGCTGAGGGGGCCTCTGCTGCACAGACCGAGCCAAGTTCTCCTCACGCTGCTCTGTCATGACCGTGAAAATTACTTATCATAATTTATATGACTGTGCTTAAAGGGAGGGGGGAGTGGGGGGGGGGGCGCAACATGCCGCAAATTTGGCGTGGAGGAAACACGAGGGAGCGGGGCTCACATCGAAGCGTTACTGTAGAAGTAGCAGTTTTATGACTCATGCCCTGAAGTAGCACGCAAGGATGGAGACGCATCTGCTGACATCCTTGAGACGCTGGGAAGTGTGTCTGAACATAAAGCAGAACACAACACACACATGTACTGGCACAAAATCTGAGGATTACTTTCATTTTCTCCACAAGACAGGCTGTGCTTCACAAGAGCCTCTATTGGGTGATTGGCACATAAAAGTGGGACCTGACAGATTGATGGCAACGTGAATTGAAGGACAACAACACTTTTTTTTTCGGTTAAGATGATCATTCAGCCGTAATTACACCAAGGATTTGTTTGCTTTTTTTGGCTCCGGAGAGACAGCACAGCTTTGCCGTGAATAATACTTCATCAAGAAACTAAAAATACAACTCCAGATCCAAAAAAGTGAGGAAGCTGACAAGAAACAGAACTTTGTGGTTCGCATATACCCTTTATTAAAATGTCTAACATCCTGTTTTATGAACAATCTGTGCTCATCTTGATCATAAATTTCCTGATTTTGGATTCCAGCTTCATCATAGTTCGGTTGCACCAAATGTTTCTTACATGTGACCATTTGTGATTGCAGACAGGCTGTTTTTCTACTCCAGGGCCATGCTTTTATACCGTGTGTGGTTTGTGGTCTCCTAAAGAGAAGAGAATGGATGGTAGGGCTGGGCGATATGGCCTCAAATCAATATCACGATATATTGAGCAGCAGGACGATAACTCCTCCACAAGCTGCTCACCCCCTCCCACATTAACTTCGTCTACGTCCACATCCAAAACAAACTTTTATTTATATATTTATTTTGACACCAAATATATCGACATGGGCAAAATGACGTTGGTTATTGTTGAAAATTTGTCTGTAAATTTTTGGTTTATCGCCCAGCCTGCCAGCCAAGCAGTTTAAGAAAGAGGCCCATTTTTACACCTTCCACATAGAATAGTTACATGGAATGATACATCAGGAGGAGATTTAATGTCAAAAAGTGGAGTCGTAGGAGCTTTAACTTCTTCGATTGGGTTTCAAACCTGTTGATTCCTACTCTCTAAAACCCCCAATCAGAATGACGCCTGCTGACATCGGTATATTTGGATGGGGTGGAGTCATACCGACACGGGCAAAATGACGTTGGTTACTGTCGTAAATTTCGGTATCTGTAAATTTTCGGTTTATTGCCCAGCCCCAGTGGATGGTTGTGTATGTTGCTCTTAAATGTGAGTATATTGTTCAGTAAATATGGTGCCCTCTCAAATGTGTTAGCCATGGACACTGATGCTTCACAGAAACTGGTTATGAACTGGAAAGAAGAAAAGGTAGAAGTTCTGTATCATGACGTGTTATGTATGATTTTTTTCTTTGCATGGTGCAGTTTTAACCTGCATGACAAACTTTCCTTCCACTGCAGAGTCATGTCTGTTTTAGTGCTGCATCTTTAATCATGATGAAATCTCTGGATTCTGGATGTTTTATACTCAGGAACATTATTTTGAAAATTGTTTAACCCTTTCCTCATGAATCCCCCTTCCATCTTTGGCTGCGTTTACATATGCACAAATAATCCGAAGTAAGGCCCGATTGGAATAAAAAAGGGTAATTTAAACACGTCGATTGTAAAATTCTGATCCAATTCAGAACAATCTGAAAGAAGTTGTATTCCAATCAAGACGGGTGGTTTATGCCGATCAATATTCCGAAACGTGTCAATGTAAACACTTATTCCAATTGTGACTCTCTAACCTGACTCAATCTTCACTCTTTTTGACGGCACAGGCGTAAATACAACTTTTCTTCTTCTGCGGTCTTTGACAGAACAGTAAAATAAGTATGCAAGGGCGCCATCTAGTGACAAAATTTAACGGGGGAAAACTCCTGAATTGGATGGAGTGCGCCACTGTTGCGTTTGTTGGTTTGTTGACGGCACAGGCATAAACAGTTGATTCAGATTTTTTATCGACTCAAGAAATTTTGCCTGAGTCATGTTATTGACCCACTTGCAGGTAAACCGAAGTCGTACCTCAGGTTGTGTTTTCGTTGACCATCTTTGTTAAACGTGACTTTTTATTCACAGATACTAAACCTCAGTCATGTTGTAACACAACCTGAGGTACGACATGAAGTCGTACCTCAGGTTGTGTTTTCGTCGACCATCTTTGTTGGGTGTTCATTCCTCCTAAAACAATCCAACTTCCAGTTCTAGTGCTTCATATTTCGTCCTTGCTCTATTTTCAATTAACTGTCGTGTTTAAATGATTTGCGAGCAATCAAAATCCGTTCCTTTCAACATTTTACAGCGTCTCCACTGTTTTGTAATTGGGGTCGTAAGTGTCTTTAGCTTTGCAGATTTGCTTTAATCGTATTTTAAACTCATCAGTGAATTTCCTCTAATAAACAGAGATTCGCTGTTAAAAATAGGAGAGTAAGTAGGCCAGTATAAACTGCTGTTGATGAAGGCTGTGTTAATTTATTTGCTATCTCTAGTTAAAGTTAATGTGAAACTTTGTCTTTATGAATCACACCAAAGCAGAGATTTCCATTCATGCTGTCATCGCCAAAGGCTTTATTCCTCAGACTGGGATTTCTCTCTTTTTAAACAAGTGACAGACAGTATGTTCAGCTTCAGGTGAACTCTAGTAACCTCTGCATGCTAGAGCAACTTCCACTAAAGCCCAGTAAGATATTTACCTCCCCAAACCAGGCTTAACCTCCACAAATCTCCTTACAATGGGGTTATGGGAGGATACAAACAAAGACCGCAGAGTTCAAGGGCCACAAATTGGGGCCGGAGAAATGTTTCTGTCGCTGACCAACCTCAGCAGCGCGGTTAGCCGTGTCATTTTCCTGTCCCGTCTTTGTGATAGATGGATAGTGGTGAACCTCAGAGGAAATCTCACATTGCTGTGTGTACGCACACGCACTCAACGATCGCACAAATGCGTGTGCCAAGCCCTCGGATGCCTCTCAGCGAGCCTGTGTACAAATGAAATGTGTGGGCACGCTGCGTTCCTCTAGAGGCAGGATGCTGTTTCCACATCCTTTTCTCTGCCTATAATTAGCCGTCCTGATAAAACACCGGTTTGCTGGCGCTTGCAGGATCAAACAATGACGAGCAGGCAGCTCTCTTCACAGCACACTGCAGACGCCAGGTGGCTGTCCTTGAGCTGAGAGCTGGGCTATATGCGGTACGCATCTGGAGGGCAATTAATCAGAGAAAAGCAATTGTGATATGATATGATACCACCCTTGCAATCATAATTACCAGAGACAGAGTCCTTGTGAGTCATGTAAGATTAGATTCCTGATATTAAGTGGATTGGTAAATACTAAGGAGGTTTTGTCAGGATTCCAATTTTGCATTTTCACTGACTCATGTCATTAAGGTGCCCTGAGCGCACTGTTAGAAACTGAATCTATTACAGCCATCCTCAGCCTCAGCGCGCCTCCTTCTTCCCCCCCAAGCTCTATTTACACAAATAAAGCTGCACAAACACACAGGCCAGAACACACAAACACACAACACTCTGTTTAAATCAGCGGTCAAGTTTGGGACTGTGGGAAAATCACTGTGTTTGTCCTAAAATATGAGGAAGAGTGGAGACTCCTCTAACCTTTCAGCTATTTTTTTAATGAATCAGAATTTCATCAGAATAAATTATCAAAAGCAGAGAAAGCAGGAGTGAAATCTGATTGAGCGCTCTTCAATCCTAAATTGTTATTGGCTGTTTGCCATATTGAAACCATCAGCTTTTCAATGTGGAACTTTTTCTTTTAAATAGTAATTTTAGACGAACCACTAAAGGTTGTTAAACACCAGTGAATTAGTGAAGTGACGTGAAAAGATAGATAGATAGATGTACTTTATTGATCCCAAACTGGGAAATTCTCTAAATATTCTAAATAAAATATTCGGCTTAGGTCTATTCCTAACCACACCTGGTGCAATGCAAATAAAATTTGCATATCACAAAGCCACATGTCTGATAGATTTCTGTCTATAGATTTATATAATTACAATTGCTTTTTCGCTCTGTTGAAGTTCGTAGCTGTTGTGGAAGCTTGCATTGACTTTAACAGGTTTAAAAAAAAAAAAAGTGAATTATTCGCTTCGCAAATTCGCCTTGCTGATTCGCCGGTGTGTAACGACCTTTACTCGCTTAACTTTTGAAATTCTAAATCATGTGAATACGACATTTCAGATACGCCCCTTATGTTTATCTATAATTAGATAGAGGCTTCAATCCCCCAAAATCAAAACAGTTTTTCTGTCTTGTTGGATCTTGTTTTTTTTTTATTGTCACTTCTATTGTTTTTTTTTTTACATTATCTGTGTGAGCAAAAGGGGCGGTGTAGACACCAGATCTGCACCTGTTTAAGACACCATACTACGGACAAACTCCATTTATCTCATACGTCAAATGTTCTCGCTTAAAAGCCCCTCACGGTTTTCTTTTTTCCGTTTGTTCATTCAGTTGACCTCGAAATTATCTCTCCATATAAAACAGAGAATTACAACTGACTGTTCTGTATTTTTTAGATGGATTTAATAGAATATGTTCACTTATCTAAAGGAAAAAGAGAAAAAAAGAAAATATGCAGGATCTCCGTTTATCAATAGATAGTTTTACTTTTGGTAGCCTAAAAGAGGTGGTCGTCTGGCTGTCGTACGTCCCCTTTAATAGGAAGCGATAGATTTCTTCATAAAATTAATCAATGTTTTCTCTGAAGAACGACAATCCCATGAAACCGAATGCAGTGAAAACCTCTTCCATAATGTCCAGACCAAACGCAATCTTCTACGTCATCTGAACAAACTTCCAGTCAATCATATAGCGTAACGTCATCAATAGGCGCTGGACCCCTCGAACACGTCTGTGGTTAAATATGTTTTTTTTTTAACCTGAAATACGACTCGATCTCTCCGAATTCTCACTGTCTATTGTCTGTGTCGCCGATCATGAATTAGGGAGCTGTGAAATGACCGCAGTGTGCCGGATTAATTTCCATACGGTCCCTAGAGACACTCTGTGAATCTCCCCTTGAGATTAAATCTGCTGAGGGGGGGAAAAAAAAAGAAAGAGCACGTTCAGAGTGAAATGTAAAAGTAGGTTACAGGTGGGAGGTTGCAGCGGTGTCGCCCTGCGCTTGCAGCTTTCATTTAAATGTCAAGACATACCCGTGGAAAGACTGACCTTATTTTTCTCCCTACCATCGACTGTGAATCGGTTTGTATGCAGCTGACAGGACTATCATTATGTAGAAATTCACTTTAAATATATAAGTCCGAGCTGTCAATAGAAAATGAAATAGTTGTTGATCAGACTGCTTTCTAAAAGCTGCCAAATCACCAATTCCTCTGAGTTTCCTCTGAACTTTTTACTTCTAAAACCTCCATCAAGGCCGCCCCGCATTGACAGCAAACTCATTCATGATGTCTGGTGGCCGACCGCCTCGGGCTGAGAGCCGCGGCGCTAAATTGACAATTTTGGCTTTGTGTGGTGGAAGCTTTTGTGATAAAGAGCAACACTCAGTGTAAACTGTCATTAAAGAGCCAGTACTTCACTTACACTTTGAAACCCTGTCGACTGCTCCAACACAAATGGCAAAAAAAAAAAAAAGAGGTTATAATTGGCCGTCATAAAGGGAAAAGGGTCGCTCTTGCAGACTTTCACAGTAGGCGGTTTCTTTCCTTATCCCCTCGACTCTTTCACTTCCTCGTGCTTCTAATCAAACGGACAGTAAGATGGAGAGAGACGGAGTCACATGAGAAAGAGGAGCTAATCTGGCATGATCAGACAGGCAGCGTGTCAATGGACCTCACGTCAAGTAGCAGTCGTGTGATCTCGTGAGGACGAGTTGGGTCGGTTTGAGGTCTGGGGGCGCAAAGGGGAGGAGGAGGAGGATGGTTGGCGTTGTCTTCTCCACCGCTCAGAGGTGGTATCTCCTCGTCTTTTGGGCGTAACCATAAACGACAGAATCACTTGGAAATCACATATCGAGCATGTACAAATCAAAGTCTCAAGAAGCATCGCATTGGATCACAAATCACTTCACACTCTTTACTGTTCCCTAATCTGAGGTTTGGGGCAACAACTATAAAACGTCACTACAGCCACTGACCACCATTCAAAAAAAGAGCAATACGAGTTTTTACACAATGTTGCCCATCAGGAACACACACACTTCTTATTTCTGCAATCTAATCTCAAATAATGTTTAAAGCTAAAAATAATCATCTACCAATAAATATACAGAAATTATTCAGTATGTGAGGGAGGTTATAGTTTAAGGGGGAAAATTAACTTTAATTTAAGTTTGATTCAGACAAAGAGGAACAGTCTGTGTATTATTCATCCATTTAATTATTCTATTCAATCTAGTAAACAAAAAACGAAAAAAAAAAAAAAAAAACGAGTCAATATTTTGTTTGTTTTTCTATATAACCAAAAAAATAAAAGGTTAGTGTTTGTTTTTGTATTTTCAGTTCAAAACAGAATATTTAACAGAGATGTAAACGAAAACAAAATAATGAATCTACTTTTCATTTCTGGGTTCTTTATGTCCCCATTTCCCACCGTGCCTTTCTACCGTTCGCACATGTGCATTGCACAATAAAGTAGCCAACAGTGTGGAACAACAACTCCAGGCCAGAGCGGTAGAGAAAGGCTAACCTGCTGTCATGGAGATGGACGCATCCTACATATTATTTAAAGCCGTCAGGAGGGTCGAGCTGAAGGAGGAAGATATGACTGTAGAGAAAATTACAACCAGAGCTCTGTTACAACCAAGATTTTGGTGCTCGAACTGCTCTGTCACAACTTCGCCATGGTAACTGTCACTGAGGATCATGGGAAAGCCAGTGTAGCCTCCATGCATGTATGCTCAAAACAGATGACTCAAAATCAATAATTGTAAATAAGATTTATTATTTCATTTTCATTTCCATCTCTATTATATTTTCTGTTTTGAGCTGAAAATATGAAAACACAATTTTTTCATTTTTTAATTATATAGAAAAACAAATAAACAAAATATTGACTCGAGGTGCTATGAGGTTATAGTTTTTTTGTTTTGTTTGTTTCTTTCTTGTTTTATTTTTTGTTGTCGTTTTATGTTTGCGCAGTATGAAGTGGATGTAGATTTTGTTTGTAATACAAAGTCATGAATGTACTTTATTTATCATGATTATCAGGTACATCGAAACACGTACCCTCGGTGTGGGTACGTCATAAGTTCTTCTTCTTCTCACTCCTTTTCGAATATGTATTTCTATTTTTTAAATGTTTTGCCTTTCTTTTCTTGTTTTAAAAAATCAATCTTTCAGGGTTAGAGCCAAAGCAAAGCTGAAGTTTGGACGTGATGATGCTATTCCACCTATAAACCAAAATCCTCAGCTGTTAGCATCTCTCCAAGGATTAGCCTCGCGGGTCAGATTATAAAACCATCTGCGACATTGGTAGGTACGTCAAAACACACGAGGCTTTTTCTAGATTATCCCGAGCTTTATGGACGCTTTGCACGACAGAGACTTTCTTTTTTTTTTTTATGTTTCCACTTGACATGTGGGACTCTGGCGTCATGTTGTTAATCACAAAATCTAACGTTCTGCAACTTTCCAGAAAGGTGGGCTGCACACATCGGCTCTCCTGTTGTGTTTTCCTGCAGGAGTGGTCTCGTCGTGTCAAGTTTATGTGTGAAAGAGCGATTGCACATTCGACTGAGCTCACACAGTGGTCAGCCTGGTGTCAGTTTCAGGGCTGTAAAGGGTTGTGGCTTTTTGGCCCGTACAGGACTGAGGTGCAGCAGGTGTCTAAGGAGACTGAGGTGAGGGTGACCTCTTCTTTTGGCCTCATACCAAAAGCAGACGAGGGAAACAAAACTTGACATCTCTGAGCCTTTTGTTGGCTAAAATAAAACCCTCACTTGAGCTCTAAAGGAAAGTTAAAGGTCGCCTATTATGAAAAAAAAAAACACACTTTTGGGTGGTTTTACACCAGTAATATGCATCCCCTTGAATCTGACAAACACCCCCCCATCCCGGCATGATAAAATTTCATTCTCTCTCTCTTTTGCTTTCCCCTCCTTTCTGAAAACATGAGCGCAAATGGGCGAATGGAAAAGCTGTGCGGTTCTGATGAAATAACCGAATAAGCCCCTCCTACATGTTGGTGGAAGTGCCCCTGATAATCGTCAGCCCAGCCCTCTGAAACTTCTCCGCTGAGGTAGCGTCCACCTTTTTTGATATGAAATATCATATTCATATATGAAATGATATGAAATATTCTGAGGCGAATTTTGATGCGCCTGACTATACACATTAAGCGCGATGCGATTTTGCGACTTTCTGAGGGGAAAAAAGACGTGTCCTGGTTGGAAGCGAGAAGACTGACACAACAGCAGACTGAGTGTTTTTCAGTTCTAATTAGACTCTAGTGTTGAGATGTCTGTCTGTCATGATAGCATGTACTGAGTCGGGGTCAGTACCAGATAAGAACATTAAACTATAATCCATAAACGTAACGTAACAACTGAGACCGATTAAGTTTGAGTTTACAGTTAAAATACATATGGTATGTTGTATCTGAACAGGTTAGCTTACGAGCTAAAGTTACTTAGCACAGATAAAAGTTCAAACAAAGACGTTTAGCAAACTGTTAAAGCACACAAACCATCGTCATATGAGAAATCCGACGCTATGACTCTCCACAAGTTGTCCTTCAGGTCGTTATCTTTTGTAATATTTGTGTCTTTTATCTAAAATCACTCTGTTCTCCGACACGTAAACAATCATCCGGTCGGCCATGTTGGATATACCGGTGAATCTGACGTCGCAACAACACGCAATCTGATTGGTTTGAAGTGGACACACAGTATGCGAAACTTTAGAAAAATCGACATGAAACGAATAAATAAATGCCACAATATCGCAGGACGGGAAAACTGCGCTGATGTGAACGTTTGTATTGACAGGATACGGGTTCGAAAGAAAATATTGACGTCCGAAATAATCGCACATAAAAAAGGACCTTAATGTCGATGGAAATGTACCAACAACAACAACGAAAATGTTGTATGTGTGTGCTAACTATTTCACCACAGACTGTTTTACTAACGAAGGACAGTTAAAAACAGGATTCACTAAGAAGTTCATGACAAAACCTGGATCTGAACCGACTGTCCGTGTCAGGGACCCAACTTTAAACGTGGAAGCTGTTACTTTGACCATTTTATGTTGCCTTACCGCCGCCTGTATGACTAGTGCTAGTGCTACTGCAATCGCGTGGTTACACACGGCTCATTCTCATTTAAAGGTACAGGCGCAGAATCAGCCCGCTATCAGTGGAGCTCAAAAAGAAGAGGGTACAGGCTGGCTGATATCCACAGATAAACTGGTGTTTCAGACAACAAACGATTGTGGGACCTCTGGGACAGATTTCAACTTGGATAGGAGACCTTTAAACATATGGTTATATTAAAGACATAAGCTCCAATTTTAAAAGACGAGAGGCAAGTTTTTTGAAAATGTGGGAACCATTAACTTCTGTTCGCATCATTTTGATTCTGCATATTAAATCTAAGCAATGATATAACCTGAGTATCTCCAGGGGCGTCCTTCACAGATCAGACAGAGCCTTCAATCTCTCCTGATCTTTGACTGTTTTATGAGAAAATTTGATATTTCTTCCTTGAAGCATTTCCCTCGAGTGCTGCGATGTTCTTTTGAGTCAATGTTTGACCAAACACATGCAGCGATTCTGGTAAACGGAAATACAATATCCCAGTAATACTGGAGTCCCTACATGCATCAGAAAAAAAAGATTTGTAAGCCTTGGGAGAGGAGAAACAAAGGATCGAGTTTTCCCATTTGCTCTCGGTAGGAAATCTGTAATGTGAGGGCAAAGGGCTCGCTGGGCTCTTGTCTGATAAGTCGGGGCGTTCTGTGTTAGTTGCATTGATGGAAAAAAATCCTTTAAAGGGTTTAAGTTTTCACGCTGCTGAAGTCAATACACATTCTCCTCTGGATGCAGGGACAGTGTCTCCTCTTTCTCTCTCTGTCTGTCTGTCTTTGTTTCTCTCTTGGTAATTCTTCGTTTCTCTCTGCAGCTCCACTCTCCTCCTATCTCCCATCTATCTATCACTGTTTCCACCGGCTTATTTCTATTTCTCACACTTTTCTCCCTCTCTTGTACTGTACCACGGTGGAGGCGCATCAATACGAGTGCAGAGTGGACAATTTATTACGACAGCAGGGGAATGAAAATACCAACCTGACAATCAATTTGCTTCTTAACTGTGTCCCGAATCCCAATTTATCTCCATTGTTGATTTCATCTCCTATTTACTGGCATGTTCTGCGTCTCAATCAATGATCCACGTTCCTCCAATTTCATATTTCTGTTCACTTAAACAGCCCTGTCCGATATTTTTGAATGATGCAGCGACACAAACATACCGTGCATGAATAAACGCTCGGCGCAGTGAAAGTGAAAGTATGTTAACTAAGTGGCAAACGAAGACGACAAAAAGGAGAAGAAAAAATAACATTCAAGGGCGTGTTGTGTTGTGTTGTGCGGTCTCTAAAGAACAGATGCTATTTCTGAAGTTGCAGCATGTACGACACGTGTACTTGATTCATGTCGTGTGCTCAAAAAGCCGTCTTTGTCTCATTGCATAAGATCTAAGCGAAGACATTTCCATTTCAAGGCCGCGGTGACGGTGATAGACGTTCAGGACCCAAGGGCCCGTCAGCTTCCCTTTATTTGTGGCATCATTTGAAACGTTACGTGTTGCTGTCAGCGAATTGTTCGCAACGGGGAGTTCTGTGGAGCTTTAAAGGTTCTAGATAATTTGTATTTATCTAGGGTGACCATACGTCCTCTTTTACCCGGACAACTTGTGTTCTTGAGGGGCTGTCTGGCCTTGTCTGGGGGAGTTTATAAAATCCTTTAAATGTCTGGAGTTTTCTATGAAAGTTTTCAGTTTGTGTCGCGTGGACTAACTGAGTTAGAAGTGTGTAAAAACCAGTCAATCCAACCCAAAAAACCCTCAAGATTAATGACACGCGACTCCATGACTCCATGACTCCATGACTCCATGTAGTCGTGTCCTCTTTTTGGGGATTCAGAATATGGTCACCCTAATTTATCTGAATAATAATAATAATAATAATAATAACTTTATTTATATAGCACCTTTTAGTTTACAAAGTGCTTAGACAACAGTTGCAAGCACAGAACATCAGCACATGAAAATAAAAACACATAAAAACCAAAGCTCAGTTAAAAACAGGCCTCTGAATTGTAGGCCTGTTTCATTTTTTGTAAGAAACCCAGGAAATACAAGAACCCTACAAAATAAATGGGACCATGAGGACCAAAATAAAAACATAAAATGAAATAGAAAAGGAGGGCAGGAAACAGGCTAGTAAGTATAAAAGAGGATATTAATAATAATAAAATCATAATAAAATAATAATGATGGTAATATAAATGATAAAGTGGAATTTAAAAAAAAAAAAAAAAAAAATATATATATATATATATATATATATATATATATATATATATATAAAACAAAATAAAGGAAAATAAAAAACATTAAAATCAATGAAGGACCTGAGAGATAAAATAAGAAAAGATTATAAGTAAAACAAAGGCTAAAAGGACAGTAAGTCTAAATAAGAAAGAGGTAAAAGAAAAAGGAGAAAAAGAAAAAAGGTAAAAGACGATAAAAGATGGCATCACATAAAAGCAAGTCTGTAAAAGTGAGTTTTTAAAATTGACTTAAAAGAAGCGACTGTCTCTGCACGCCTTATCTCCTCTGGCAGGTCGTTCCAAAGTCGAGCTCTGATGGAGAAAGCTCCATCACCTTTAGTTTTGAGCCTCGACTTTGGAACGACCAGGAGGCCTCGCCAGAGGATCTGAGGCTGCGAGTTGGCTCATAAGGTATTAAAAGCTCTGAAATGTAGCTGAATATGTGATTATCTGAATATATCTGAAAAGGGGCATCAGGGGGTCATTTCTCGTCATTTTTAACGCTCACTAATTTATGATAAAGAGGAACAGAAGAGGCAAAAACAAACTTCAGAGGATAACAAGCCGGCCTGTGACATTAATGGTGAAAAGCTATTTCCATCTCATGAAGTAAAAACATCATAAAAGCAGACGTCTCACCTCATTACATTGTTCCACTCGTTTCTTAATAGCTCCGGTGAATAAAAAGAGTAAAATCTTGACCCTCCTCGTTTTCCCTGATGGTTTCCGCTGACCATATGTCCTCCTGGCCCATCTTTAATGGAGACCGTGTGTGTGTGTGTGAGGCCCCTGAGGGGTACAATGATCCAGCCGCCCCCTGACCTCCAGTTAGAACGAGGACTTTCCATCTCTGGACAACTTGCCCTTGGAAGCTCTCTGCTGTCACTTACACGGCTAATGGCTCCCATTCCCTTGATGCAGGAAAATTAAGGGGCCAAATACAACAAAGTGCTCGAGCTGCGGGTGTTTTGAGGATAACAGATTGTTTCCAAAGTAGTGTGAGGGGGCACCTCGTTGTGAGGGTGCCTCATCAATCATCATTTAGCGGCGTTTAAATGGGTGTGCGCCTCCCTAAGAGATGTTAGGATTGAACCGCCAAAGATTGAGCGGCCAGGACTTCTGTACGTTTCCCGGTCTAAGCAGTTTCTGAAGTAACTTTTTTATTTGACTCATCCTCAGCACGTAGAGACTGCCAACAGCGTACATAACTGTTTCAGGAAACTCCTCGACAATTTCCATAAAATTACTAGATATAGTAAACACTCCCTGACTCAGTATAAAATGTAACAACTGATCCTTAAACCGCACTTTTCCTGCTGACAGACGACAAACACTTCTCAGAATGAGCCAGCGTTTCTGTGTAACCGGTTTCTATAACGTGATGATGAAAAGGGAAAACACTGATGATGAGGAGGAGGACTGAAGAGCACTGTTTCATCAGGAAACTGGAATACTTGCACTAAACATTCAAGCAAAATCAACTCTGCAGCAATCACCAATCAGCGCCGAGACTTTTACTGCTGATTGCCGATCTAAAAAAAGCGACTGCCCACTGAAAACAAAAATTGCAAACGAGCTCAAACTTCCAATTTGCAAACATAAGGCACGTTTTAGTGTCGTGTAGTTCATGACCGATCTGTTCAAAAGAACAGAACTGCTGAGTGAACGACGAGAATGGAATCACTACGAGACTTGATCCGTTCCTTTCTCAGTTCAGTTGAGTTCAGCCGTGTGCGTGGCCTGCCGGTCCGGAGTGGAACCGCCGCCTTTGACTCTTTGGCGAACAACACACAGACAGACAGCCAGCCAGCCAGCGGGCGGAGTTTCATGATTTGGTCACATTGAATGAATGACATGTATCAGGAAGACTGTGAACGAGACAAATGAAGATTTAGAGCAAACAAGCTCAAACTTCCAATCTGCAAACATAAAGCTCGGTTTTAGTGCTGTGTTGTTCATGACCGATTCGTTCAAAGGAACGGAGCTGTTGAGCGAATGACATGAATGGAATCACTCCAGGACCTGATTCATTCCTTTCTCTGTTCAGTTGAGCTCAGCCGCAAAAGTTTGAACGACATGTATGACATACAGCGAACGAGTGAGCAGGCGGGTGTAGTCTTGTGATTTGGTCACAGTGAATGAACGACATGTATCAGGCAGACTGTGAATGAAATAAATAAAGATTTCGTGCAAACGAGCTCAAACTTCCCTAATTTGCAAACATAAAGTTCGGTTTTAGTGTTGTGTTGTTCATGACCGATTTGTTCAAAAGAACAGATCTGCTGAGGTCTCTCCAAGACAATCAGTTGAGCTCAGTTGTGAGCATGGCGTGCCGGTCAGAAGTGGAACTGCCACCTTTGACTCTTTGGCGAACGACACACAGCCAGTCACCAAGCAAGCGGGTGGGCTTAGTCTTGTGATTTGGTCATAGCGAAAGAACGACACGTATCAGACTGTGAACGAAACAAGCGACTTCTGAACAACTTAAGGCAGGCAGAGGAGGGAGGGGCATGGCGTCATTCACGAACTTCCGAGCACAGAGCAAATAGCATGCTACTTGATATCGTGAGTTTTTCAGGACAGGGGAGTGATTCGTCTTTCACGACTTTATGAATGAACGGCATGTGTCACCCAGTGATCGACGCTATTACTTCAGCAGCAGGGGAGGGGAGGGGCTTGTTCAATGAACGAACTCCTGATCAGCGCCGCTGTGTCACTCGCTCATGTACTGCACCTGGCAGGGCTTGGCTTCGAAGCACTGACTGATTCGGTGAATGAATCTTTTGAACGAATCATTTTTACGAACAGATTCTAAAGATCCAGTTCAGTCAAAAGAACTGTTCTTCCCATCACTCCTCGGTTTACCTCCACATCTCTTCTTTCCGTTTCTCCATCTCTCTATCTTTCATTCTGGATTTTTTTTGTTGTTGTTGCTGTAAATATTGGCAAAATATTCAAAGACAACAGGCTGGACTTGTGCACACGCTCTGCTAATCTTCATCCTGACAGCTTTATGCCAGATTAAGACAGTTTGGCTCCATCCAACCTCTTGGGGGGGCGAAGCCAAAAACAGCAGCCACTTCTTAAAAGTCGTGTTGAGAGACAGCTTGATGTACGCCTTTGAACAAACAAGTGACAAAAAAAAAAAACGCTCCCTCTGCTTTTCACTCACGCCCGTGGAGCGTTTCATCGCTCTCTCGAAGACGCCCTTTCAAACTTGTCAAGTGAAGTTACTTCTTTGAAAGAAAACACATTTTTCCTACTTTAATTTGTACTGCCACCAGCAATTTTAAAGCAGAATGAGCTCTTTTGTCATCCTAAAAAGCAATCATCATTTCATATTTGTGAAATTCTTGGCAGCCTCAACACCCTTCTCATGTGTATTTAATACACAGGGCTGTGATCAGGCATTGTCAGCCACGTGTTGGCAGCATGTATGGGATTTTTTCTCCTCCTCCGACAGGATTAAAATGATCCATTATCAAGCATACATTGGGAGGATGAAATATTCAATGTTTATTCACGGGCAGAGATGATGAATGGCTGCTGTGATGGTCTCCTGTGTCAATCAGTCAGGTTGCCTCATTAGGTCAGCAGATTCTGAGCCACAGGGGGATGCTTATTCAAATCCCTCAAAATATGCAAAGACAGTGAAAACACCTAAGTCCATGAATAACAATAGCCTCCTGATGCAAAAGCTTTTCTGTGAGGAATACAGCCGAACGGGGAGACGCGCAGAATATCAGAGACCGCAGGGAAAAACGACGGCCACACCGAGAGAAAGCTGGCGTGTCTGTCATGTGTGAACGCAACACACACAAGCGACTGTAAATACAGCTGGATATGATGCTTGTTAGCGAAAGGGTCCTGACCCTTAGATGCACCAGGGTCAAAAGTGAGTCAGTGCATCAAAAAAGACCTGCAGTGATTTCAGACTGGATCTCTTCAGAAGCTTTCATTCTCATCACCTGTAGCTGTCAGGGACGTATTTACAGGGATTTTCACATGTTCATGAATGTTCAAGTCAAAGTTTGTTACCTGGCTTTCTTACCGGTAATTTCCACCGCATCTGGAATCGCTACGAAAAGGCTGTATCCGGCGATCGTAGCTGATTGTAAC